CCAGATATTGCATGCAAAAATAAATAAACCTTTTAAAAATAATCTTATACTGAGTAACTGTCTGCTGAGTAGTAGATTCAAAACCTCTTCACTTAAACTATTGAAAATCGAATCTGTTCTCAACCAAACCTCTGACAATGGGGAAAATTGGCCTCCTTATCTCTGTAAATCGCATCTCCATTCTCCTTTGTAAAATGAGCATGATAGCATCTTTCTGGACTAAGCTCGGTGAAATCTTATTCTCACAGCAAAGGAGCCAGGAGCTCTAGGCAGCAGCTCAGTCAGTGGTGTCGGCTGGTCAGCAATTGTTTATTGACCCTTATTAGATCTGTCGATAATTTCAGTGCGCTAAAAACCTGAGATGAGCAAATCCTGTATCGATCTTCAAAATCGCTTCAGTGTGAGTGAACTTTTTTCAATTCATAATTAAGACATTCCTTGATGTGTTTGCATTTCATTCAAAGAATCATCTAACACAAGAGATTGAACTAGTGATTCTGTTATCTGGCTCACTTAGCTTTGGAACAACTGTGTCTCACCTTGCTTGCGGGTGCCAGGAAAAATATTGTGAAGTAAGAAATAGCTCCCCAACAGTGACATTGTCACTCATCCAAACGTGATAGGAAAACACACATGCTCACACCCACACAATGGTTCTTTGTAAAAGGGTTCAATAAAGTTCCCAATGGGAGCACTTCAATAATAAGCTCATTTCAATGCATTGAATAAAGGCGCCTTTCTGACCAGCCCTCCCCTTCATCTTGCCAAACTGAAGGCTTGTCTGAGTGTTTTAACTGGTAGAGGAATCTATGGTAATACTCAGTATGAAGTGTGCTTTGCCAAAAAGCTGCCTGGAGTACCAAGGAATTCACAAGGAAGGTGGGACTACACCGAGCTCTTCCCTGCAGCTCCCCAGCTCATGAAACCCTGGACATTCTGCCTGCTTAGAGTTTCCTTGAATTTCCTGACAAGCCCCTAAGCCGGTCTCCGTGTCAAGTTGGAATTCTTCTTTTCTTTCCAAGGAGCTACTGATGGAGCTTTCACTTATTAGAATGTGTGCACGATATCAGTAAGCACTAAATGGCTCTCCAGTTCCAGCCCATAGAATCCAGGACCACATTGAAACAGTTTCCTCTGTGGCTAGTGTTTTGGAGGTTCACTCCCTACCAAGGATTAGCTACATTTAGTTGCACAAAATAAGAGAAATTTCCACCAATATCCAGCCTTCTGCCTGCATCCACTTAACCCTGGGCATGGGAGAATAATCTAAATTTGATCACATAGTTTTACAGCAAACACAGAACCAAAAACAAACATCAAAGTAAACTCCCGACTGTAACCAATATGGAAATGTACAATGGGGGGATGGAGAGGAAATTTCTCTTCGTCTTTCTAGGTTCTTCTGGGGTGATAGAGCAATAAAATTAAAATCAAACAGATTAGTTGGAGGAAGAAAAGTTTAGATTGTATGGAGAACCTACATGGGTGTAAATTCTAAAGCAATGGGGCAAAACAAAGGTATTTATCCCAAGCTAAGGAGCAGGGTAAGAGCCTGGGGTTTCCAGGAAAGAATAATAAACTCACATGATGATGACCAGGTGCTCTGTAATGAGCTGTTTGCCCTGCCTTGTAGATAGAGTTCTCTAAATGAAAGACTATTTTATGGAGATAACCCTCCATCCAGGCAATATTCTCAATTTTCATTCTCCCAGGTAGTTAAGGAAGTGCTAAAAGTTTCTCTTGAGCCAGCAGGGTATCAGTTACTTTAACTCAAAACAACCCACATGTCAAGCTGAAACATATTGGGGAGGTTCATTCTGAATATCTTGAGGGTGGGGAGGTGGTTGTGCTATCAGTCAATACCAAAGAACACTTCGTATACTGCATCTTCTCCAGGGCATTTGAGGAACTCACTGGACAGCATTACCCCAAAGTGAACTTCTCAGGCAAACTATCCACTTAGAACTTATGGCTGGTCACTGCCAAAAAATGAAAGCATCAGAGAATTCTAGGTAAGGAAAGCATTAGATAAACTCCCTTCCCTTGGAAACTTGAAAAATAATAATCAATTTTAAATAATAAATGTTAAGTGAAAGACATTCTTTTCCATCTAATTCCAAATCTATTTACCTATCTAAATAACCTGACTACAGATCACTGAAAATTTAAGAATTTTAAAAATAAAAATCTAACTTGATTATTTCCAAATGGTTTTGACAATTGGATTTGATGTAATGAGATATTGTCACATGGGGAATTTGCCTAAGAAGAAATGAAGATGTTTGTGTTCATTTTCATACATTGTGTCCAAAAAATGCTTCCAAATTTCTGGAAAATATTTTGTGTTCACTGAATTAAGGATACACCCCACCCCATTTCTTTTCACCCCAATTTACATTATTCCTATTCTCCATATCTTCCTGCCTTTGGGTAAACTTTACTGTAGCACTTGTTAGAATTGTCGTGGATCACTAATCAATAGGATCTAAGTAAAGTTCTGTCATGTCCATTTAACATTTTCATTAGCAAGGGGATGCGTTTGTTCTAGTCTCCTTAGAAGCTCAAAGTAAATTTCTGAATTAGCAGAGCTTTCTTTCCCTTCATGAACAAATTAATCAGAAACACATGTGACCCACTCTCATTTGGACTTGGCATAATTATTTCTCAAGAAGAGAAAAATCAGAGAACAAGGCAAATGTTTGATGTGAGAAAGGATGATGGTACTAAGAAAGTATGATTTTAGGACTCTGGTTTCTTGAGCCATGGTATCTTGGAGCTCTATCTCTAATTCCAGGTTATCTTGAACTAACCACTAATCTTGGGGCATGCAGACATGAGACCCTCCTTGGAGACCCATCCGATTTACAAATCATTCTTTTTCAAGATTCAATAGTAATCCTTAGAATTTTCAATCTACATGGGGGATTACATTTCTATCTTAAACATGCAATGACTTGGTGAATCTAGATCAGATAAAATAACCAACACTCCTACCTATTTGCTTCCTGAGCAACTTTGATGATGCAGCTAAAGTTCTGGGAACCCACTTCATACTGAAAGGACTATTTCACTCCTGAAGATCTCTGCTGGTGAAACCCTAACAAAAATTAGGAGACTCTAGATTTATTCCAGAGTGGACCTTAGTGACCCTATTTATAGGGAGAACAGGGATTTTCTTACTATTGGAGGAAAAAGACAGAAATAGGCAAAGGAAGAAAAACAAAATTATTCCTAGTGATTCAGCTTCTATCATATGGAATACATCACATATAATTATATTTGTTTGGATGATAAACCTATAGGTAGTGTCCATTTTTCTGTAGATCAGGAAGTTGAGAGTCAGTGACACTCCCAAAGGAATTTATTTATCCAGTAAATACTTACTATGTACCAACAAGTATTTTAGATAGTGGCAAAACAGTGGTGAACAAGGAAGACTCCCCTTGTGGAGTTTACATTTTAATTAAATCTTTTTCAAAGACAATTTTGATAATGACTCAGAAAAAAAAAATCACATCAAACTTTTGTACAATGCATGTGTCACCCAAATTAAGACACGAATATCTATTTGAAACAAAGTTTGTATATGTACAGATTTTTTCCTTAGTGCCTGTAATGCTTTCAATGCTTTCCTATATTGTCTTTTTTTTCCTTTTTAAAGTTCATTTGGTAATAACCAATGAAATTGATTTTATGATCTACTAGTGAGTCACAGTCTACGATTTGAAATGTGATTCTAGTTGACTTGAATGGAATGGTCTAATATATTATCAGTATCCCATTAAGACCGGGGGAGATAACTGCATTTTGGGTCAACCACAGTGTTCAATCTCCATTTCTCCTTCATAGTATGTCTCATTTACTCTAAGCAGTGATAAGATGTTTTATCCTTTTTTCTCTAAACTTTGTCTCTTCACATATAGGATGACGACAGAATATCCAGGTCACTATGGTGAGGAAATGGACATGATTTCCTATAGTTACGATTACTATATGCGAGGAGCAACAACCACTTTCTCTGCAGTGGAAAGGTGAGCCTTGCCTGTGGGCTAGGGTCCGGGGAGACATGTATTAGCTCCATGCATACAAGGATCATGTCTACAGTGATATTTATCTGAAATTTTCCCTATGTTGGTTTCCTGCTTCGGCTACAATTAATGAGAGTTTGGCTGGGCCCTGGGAATCAAGGGAAGGTGAGCTGTTCTTGTGAGCCTACTTCATAGATTGTCTCAGCCCAGAAAAGAAAATTGATTCCATCTCCTTCCAGCCCAATGGAACCTCAAATTGGTATCACAGAATGTTCAAGTTCTTCTCGCTCAATTTCAAAGAGCACTTTTTCTCACCAAACATCAAAAGGAGATGGCAAAATGGTAGAAGGAATGCTCATCAAGGAAGGGATCCTCTCACCCACTTTGGGTGGTGGAAGAAGACAGAAAGGTAGGGTCTGCTGAGAAAGTGCCATATTTAGAAATGAAAGAGGAGAACATAGATGGCCTAAAGAAAAAAACAGCACTAACCATTTTCATATCCAAGTGCAATCAGTTCCCCAATCCTTTCTCAAAGCACCAAAATAAGCAAGAGGAAGAAAACAAGAATTCTTACTAATACAGAAAGAGGCCTGTATAGTTTCCAGCATTAAAATGTTCATTTGACCTATTTTTAGTCTGAGGATAATCATTTTACACAGCTAATGAGTTCTTGAAAGTTACAGTAAATGATTAGTAAACAACATGAAATTTATGTCAACTCACTAAATAATGGACTGCTATGAATTTCAGAGTAATTTATCTTTTGTGTATATTTATGTCTTTCAATAAAATGGCATCTCTCCTAACTGAATTTATTTCATGTAAGTTTATAAAACAAAATAAACTTTAAGTAGCTCTGAAAAGGTACAGTATATGTTTACTCATACAAAGTCCCCTCAGTTCTCATACATTAATCATTTTTTATGTTGCCTAGTTTCTAGAAGCAGTGAATTTAAAAAATGAATAGGGAAGGGGCTTCCCTGTGCCACTAATGGTTAAGTCTCAGCAGCTACTGCAGCAAGAGTTCGATTCCGGGCCAGGGAGGTGACCCACATGGCGCAGCAAACTTCTCCTGCCTTGCCAACTGTTCCCTTCAGCAGTGTATTTCAGTCAATCCACCTGGCCTGTTCTACTCCCCACTCTGTCCTGGTGAATCCTCTCCTCCTCCCCTCCATACCCCTGGCCTACACACCAGTTCTTATATGCATAAATAAATAAAATAAATCTTAAAAAAATTAAAAACACAAACACAAGGATATATTTACAAAAAAAGAAAGAGAGACTAAAACTCAGAGACCATGGAAGCCTTGTGTCATTTAGCAGGGTTGTTTAAACCCAAGTACAATTCTGGATAACAGCCTAGCAGGTGCTTCATTTTCCTGATAATGTCTCCACCTCAATAAGAAAATTAGTTCTTCATTCCAAGAGAACAAAAAAGAAAGGATATCATCTAAACTTACTGTAAAATAAATGTATTGGGGGAGTTCAAATGTTCAATTCCTATTGGCTCAGAAATTTTTAGTTTTGTGCATTAACCCAGAATCTTCAAAACTGAGACATTGTGTCAGGCATTTATTTAACATGAAGAGACCCTGCAGTGATGGAAAGATCACTAGCACAGTTCGAATGTCCTCAGCTCTGCTGATGGATGCTGAAATAGGCGCCTTGAGGACACATCCATCATCTGGGAGACTCACCCGGCCCAACTTCCTTTCCCCCTACATGCAAGTCACAGTATTTTCTCCTGTTCGGGGCTTGCTGATCTGGCCACAATTGCCAGCTGGACAGATAATTCTTCATTGCAAGGGCTGTGCTGTGATTCTAGAGGTTCCTCCCCACTAGAAGGCAGTAGCAACTGTGCACCTGCACTCCTCAAGTCGTGACAATCAAAACTCCCTGGGGAGTAAAATGATCTCTGGCTGAAGACCATTGTCCTGCAGGGAGACCAGTGGCTGAGCCTGGTTGAGCCCCTTCTCGAGCCAAATCTAAATTTTGCTCCCATCAATACATAGTCTTTTTAAATGAAAAATGATGAAATCCTGTCATTTACAACAATATTGGGAAATCATTTTTCTCCATCAGAGAAAGCCAAGCAAGGTATCATTTCACTTGTGGTAGATAACAAAGCACTAAATGAATGAACAAAACAAATACAAAATTCTTAGACTATAAGAACAAAAGTGATTACCATAAGAAAAGGAGGAAGCAGAGGGGGTAAATTGAGCAAAGAGATCAATTGCCTGATAAATAACAAAAACTGGTAGGTCACTCTGAACGACATGGAGCAGCAGCCTCAGAATGTTGAAGCCTGTGGAGGATGATTTGAGCAGCACCATACCGCTGGCAAGAACAGAACTAAGGGTGGTCAGCCCTGCCCTCCAGGCCAGAGGCTGGAGGGACACCTTACCAGTGCTGGTGTTTGGGATCAACTGGAAAGAGGCCCCACAGATTGAAAAGAGGAAAATTCTAAGGATAAATGACTGCCATGCTTTGGAAACTTTGGTGTGATCAAATATGGGGTTACTCTTTTTTTGTCCCTTGTCAGGACTGTGCAAAGAATGTGACAGCCATTTCCTGGATTCGGAGTACTTAGTTATGAGGACAGTGTGATGTAAGAGAAAGATGAGATTTGAGCCCAAAAAACTTAGACATTGTCGCTTAATTATCTTAAGGAAAGCCACTTATTTATCTGACTCTGTTTCTTTACCTAGTCACTGCATCATTGAGAGGATTAAATGAGATGCCAGATACACCAGTGCTATCAAGTGAACTGTAATAATAATTATCTTTGCAGTTAGACCAGGAGAGTTCCATGCAAATAAGGCACTCAGTATTTTTTCTAAATGGCTGAACAAAGAGTACAGACTTGTCCTTAGCAAAGAATATTCCTTGAAATACATGCACATGTTGTTTTTATTTTTAAATTGAGCAATTTCAGATACTTTTCTCCCCCTGCCTCGCCCCTTAAGCAAATATGCAATTCAATTCTTATGAGGCAAGAAAGGCATTTTTCTCTTTTCCTTTGTGTTTTCTGAAGGAAAACACATAGTGTAGTGGATGGGACCCAGCACAGGGTAAGACCTCATAAAAGGAAGAATAAAGCAACTAGATGGCCTAGCTAAAAAACAGTCTTTACAATGCTATGGAGACCAGGTTAGATAAATGTTCATTCCAGGGCCTCCCTGGTGGCCTAGGGGTTAAGTCTCAGCACTGTCACCCCTACAGCCTGAGTTCAATCCTGGGCCAGGGAGCTGACCCACATATGGCACAGCAGACCTCTCCAGTGTCACCTGCTGCTCCCCTTAGCAGTATACTTCAGTCAGTCTACCTGTTCTGCTCCCCATTCTGTCTCTTCCGATCTCCTAGTCCTTTGGCCTGATCCCCAGTTCTATGCAAAAACTAAGAAATGCTCATTCCAAACTGTTAGCCTAGGTACGTGAGGTACCTTTCAAAGCAAACAGTGGGCTGCTGGCCACTAGTGCTGAACTTGACCAGTTCAGCAACCTAGTTGGTCACCTTCAAGGTGCAACTGGAACTGGATGAGGTTCCCAAGACTCCTGATGTCACATGCCATTTACCTGTAGGTTTTCTAAAGACTTCCTAGAACTCCCTGCTTGGCAGGAAAGTGGGATTAGGTGTCTTGGCTTCCTGGATTTGTCAAAGGCTGTTCGTTTCTTTCCACTAGCAGCAATTCCTCCTAAGTATCTTTTCTCACTGACATGAGCTCTTTGCCTCTCCCCACAGGGATCGCCAGTGGAAGTTCATCATGTGCCGGATGACCAACTATGACTGTGAATTTGAAAATGTTTAGATTTGCTAAATCTTGGTGACGGGAAGGCGGTCCGGAGGCCTGAGGGTGTCCACATATGTTAATATCAACTGGAACTACTATGCTATTTCCCCGGCTCTCCTCATTTCTCCTTGAGCTGATTGGAGCTGCGAGGCCAGCTTTCTGGGCCTTTCTGACTAGTCTCATGCTTATATCCACCACAAGCCAAATTACTCCCTTTTAACGTGTTCCATAGCAAACGCTTTATGACTGACAGTGTTTTTCTTGCACACCTCATATAGGGGTGTGTGTTCACTGCCTGACACGAAGTCTGGCTCCTCGAGCACCTGCCACAGCTTTGCTACTGCTTTAACTACACCACGAGCTCCACACAGACCTGGTGCTAAGAGTGTCTATGAGAGGTTTCGTGGAGTGGAGAAAGGGGGCACAGTTTGAGGAAGGTGGCAATGAAGGATACATGAAGTTGTGTCTGTGAGAGCCAAGACCAGATCCTCCCGCGGAACAGACCTGCTGTGTGGGTGTGATGGTTTCCACCACCACTGCCCTCCCCAGGAGCTACGCTTGCTTGGAAGTTTAAGTGCAGGGCTCTATTCTGCAAGAGTAAGGACATGACGTGAGGTGGTAACATGGGAGGATTTGGGAACAGAGATACAAGACATAGGGTTGAAAGGACTTTCTGAAGTGGAAAAAGAATGTAAGGAAAGAGAGTGCAGGTACCAGAGGAACCTGGAAGAATGAATCTCAAGTTAGATAAAAGCAAAGAAGAGCGACATCCATAAATGGGACTCGACTTAAAAATATGTAGGCGGGAGAGCATGGTCAGCTTGCTTTGAGAAATGGAAAAAGGGGTTCGCGTCACTGGCACCTGAGGGCATGACCAGGACTCCTGGGCAAGCTGCTGTGTGCCCCATGGGGGTTTCTGGCAAAGTCACCTGGATGGGTCCTGAGGTTCTGGGGGTGGGCGGTGGGGAAGCTGCCTTCAAGGTGCACATTCCTTTTTGTATAGTTTAGGGATGTGTTCTGCAGAAGTGACACTCTTTTTCCCATTTGATGTCTCTGTCTCCTCCCTATGTATTCTCCTCATCATAAAAGGAATAAAAATCTAACATTCACTCTGCTTCCTGTGTTAAGGGTCAGTGTTTACTATCTCTCCCCCTCTTTTTGATTACTCATCCCTCTGTCCATTCTAGGCAGAGATTAGAAATGTGATTTGGGCCAAGCATCATAGTAAGGGCAGGCATACAATGACAATGATGGAGAACAGCTGGGTAATCAGACAGTTAAACCAAAGCACTAAGCACTTGCATTAAGGATTAGACATGGGCTATAACCATGCTTTTTGGCCTTTGGTTCTAGCTTCATTTATCCTCAGCATCCTTCAGCTATTCTTGTACCAATAAGCCATGTGCATTTCTAACCAGGAAGAACCCCTATTTCCTTTATCCACAGTTTGCCTTTGCTTTCAGAACTATGCTGCTCTCCCCTCCTTAGCTTCCCAGGACACTCAGAACAGTCATCCAGGCAAAATTACAGGAGGTCCACCCTGTCTTGGGCCCCATCTAGGAGGCCACAGTGATGAGTCTTGGCCAGTGATGTTACTTTTCCCCGTCAAGTTCCCGGGGTTGTGAAGGGGACGTCAGAGCGAAGGATGTCTTCTTCCTTTGCCTCAATTCTGAGGCACCATTTTCTATCGGAGTTTGCTTTATGTTTTCCATTTCATTGTTTCCACTGCTTTGGAAATTTTAACTTTCAGCAGGCTTCACTGTTGTTATTTTTCACAAAGGGAGCCATTAATATTTTAGCAATAACAGTGCTAGTTCAGGATGACAGCCAAGAAATGGCCTTACTGGGAGTATAAAGCACAGCAGGAAGAAGGGGAGGCTGCAACAGAGTACACGTCAAAGGACTCCCAGAGTCTCCCCCACACTCACCCCACCCTCTCCCTTGCACCCCCATCCTCTCCTTAGTCTTCTGTCTTCATCATGGCTGCCAATTCAGCCAATCCACTTGGCTTGTTGCCTTCTACTTATGCTTCACACACAAAAGAAAAAAAGAGAAAGAAATCCATAAGAAGTGCCTTGCCAAGTGAAAAAAAAAAAAAAAAAAGAGGCTTTTTACTAAGTGAAAAACTTCCCTGCATCTGGACCTGTGACAATGACATCAAAGACATTATTAACTTGGTTCTAATCTGAATAATTTATACCTTCCATAATATGTCAACCAGTAAGAGCTGAACATCAGAGGGCAGCTAAATCCAAGATCTTATGACTGCAAACTCCCTCTCCAAGCTCTCCTTATTTGAATTTTCCTACTACTTGCTCCATGACCTTGGATAAGCACCTTTTTGTTCTAAGTCTACTGTTTATAATTCAGTCATTTTCCAGGTAATCACTGTGGTTTCTTGCAATTTTAGAATTCTGTGAACTCTAGCCTGGAGCAAATTATTTATAAAGTACTTTGCCATGATATATATTTTCCAGAGAAGTGTGGAACAAGAGTCTGGTACCTGAGTCTTTACTCTGACTCTGACAGAGGGTGGCATTTTTATATGGTCACTACCTTACAAAGTTGCTTGGAAAAGAATTCCTTGTATGTTAGGCAGATGGCAACTCAGCTACCAAGCTGCCAATTCTCCATCTGCCTAACATATAAGGAGTTCTTTTCCAAGCAACTTTGTAAGGTAATGACCATGTGAAATGATGTGAGAGTAACAAGAGTCAGAGAAAAGAGGAAATTTCTCCTACCCCTCTGGGTTCTCACCAGCTGGTTGAGTAATCAAATTAGCATCTGATTGATTAAAGAGAGGGGGAAAAGGACATAGAGAGATTCTGCGTAGATGTGGATCCCAAAGCCAGCTAAGAGATGGGGTAAAGGTCTGAGGCTTGAAGGGGAGAGGAGTGACAATCACATAATGAGTTTGGGTAATTGATAATGAAGACCAGAGTCTCTAACATTGATGTTTGCCCTTCCATACAGATAAATTATGAGCTACTTCTGTTAATAAGCTTAATTCTGGGTAACATCTACAATTTGATTCTTCTAGGTAGTTAAGGGAGGGGTAAGAATGTCTTGTGATCCTTAGAGTCTCAACTAATCTTAACTCAAAATAACCCACCTGCCAAAGTGACACACCTTAGGACTATTCTGAGTGTTTGGTAAGACATATTCTGACCATTTTGGGGAAAACTATATGAATATCTGGGGCCACCTACCCTTAAGAAGAAAATGATTCCTACTCAGAGGATCAATAATCTAGTGGGGAGAAAGAGAAAATGAACAATAAATGATAAGTCCAAGAAAGTTTATGAGGATGTCAAGTCTATGGTTGGCCCTGAAGATAGGCTCAGATTCCCCCAAAAGGGGAAACCACAGTGGGCTCTCAGTTCATCCTGTCTAAGCTCAGACCCTACCTCTGTCATTAAACAACTACATGAGCTTGACCAATCACCTCCCTTTCCTAAGACTCTATTTCCTAACCTGTAGTGATAACAACAGTATTTATATCATGACATCATAGTAAGGATTAAATGAGATCACATAGAGTCTTGCAAACAATAAGTATCCAACATATAAAGTATATATGTATACTAAATATATAGTATATATTAAATATATAGTATACATATTTACTATACATATACACACAGTATATACATGTACACATAGTATATATTTTATATAAAGATAATATATATTTATTATACATATATACTATATATAGTAATAGGAATATCATTGAAACATAACAGAAATAATGTAATTTAGGTATTAATGTAGATAAGTTGCATATTAGTGGGTAGATAATAGGAAAAATTCATGAAAAAAAGGGGACTTAAATTTGGCTTTCATTCATTAATTTACTCAAGGATAAGACCACACACCTGCCTAGAAAGTTCTTTAAAATAATGATACAAAAATATGGCCCTCCCTAGTGGCGCAGCGGGTGAAAGCACAGCACTGAGAAGCTAAAGCCACTTCTGCATGAGTTTGATTCCTGCCTGCCCCAGAGGTGACCATATGGCATGGCAGACTTCTCCTAGCCCGCCCACTGCTCCCCTCAGCAGTGTAGATCTGCCTGTTCTGCTCCCCACTCTGTCTCTGGTGAAGCCTCTCACCACCCCTGAGCCTCTGGCCTGTCAACCCCAGTTCTGTATGCACAAATAAACAAATCTTAAAAAAAAAAATGATACAAAAATAGTCACACACAGCTTCATGGGACTTAAAACTTTCACAAAAAAGTTATCATTTTCTCCTCCAAACTGAAAAGTAGCAAGACTCCTTATTCATGTTTAACATAGCTATTAGACCATGCAGTGCCTTGCTAGACACTGCAAACCTGCCCTTGCATGGTTTCCTGCTCATCCTGAGGCAGCCCTGGGTACCCCGTGGGAGCCCAGTTATCAATGTGAACAAGTAAGTCTCTGTATCAGTAAACATTGGGGACGGGGAAAATTACCAAAAGCAAATTACCATCTTTTCTGAATTGGAGCCTCAGGGTTTACTTTTTGGTCCTTTTTTATACTTCTCTGCCTTTCCCAGCTTTAAAAACAATAATTACCATTGATTGCACTTACATTTAAAAAAAAAAAAAAAGTAATGTTCATCTTACAGAACAAAAGGGCTCCGGCTGCTAAGCACTTCAGCAGCAAGACCATGTTCTGACTGAAAGGTGAGCATATGGTGACTTCATGGAAAGAATGAGATTATAAAACCAGACTCTTTCATCTAACCGGCTGCCTAGTGGGTTCTAATTTAATATGCAGCATTACCTGCTCTTCTCAACTCCCTCACTATCCCCAGAGACAATGGAACAGATGTTCCCTGTGTCACATGACCAACAAGAAACCAGCATGTAAAACTCTTCTACTCACTCAAGTCCTACTTGTCCTTCAGGACCAAGCTTAGATTCATTTTCCTCAGAAAACTTTACTGCACCTCCTAAGGCTGCTTGGGTTGGGGCCCTTCCCTGGTTCCTTCAGTACCCTGGACATCACTTTCACTCCCCAAGGGCACAAATCCTGTCTTTATTGTAGGTTGTCAGTGCCTGTCAAGGTATTTTATGCATAGTGGTCACCTAGGACATCTGCTTTTAAAACAATCTAGCAGTTTTATTGGGGAAATCATCCATATCATCCCTTGAAGAGCTGCTCACTCATGAGAGTAAATTGGAAAATACAACAGTCACAATGGATGTCACTTAATTGTTCAGGAAGTATGTCAACAGTGGCAATTTCAGGGCCAATTTCAGTGTTTTTATGACCCAACATCTCTATTAAAATAAACATCTAAATAGCCAGCACTAAATTATGCAGTTGGTGGCTATGAATACAGTCTTGTTAACCAACCCCTGAAGTGACCTAAGGGAAAGTGTTCAGGTTGGTAAAATTGGTGAGGCCCTATATGCATTAGAAGAATGCTTTTAAGTCTTATAACAGCCTATGCATTCCAGCGAGGCAGAGGCAATGATGTTTGTTTGATGTATCACTGGCACAACAAATAATGATGAATAAATAAAAATCAGCACCTAGAACAAACCCAAACACAGATTATGATTCCATAATCTTTTTTGACCATTGTCACTTCATGTTACTCTCAGAATTTGCCTGTAGGATTAATTTGCGATCAGTTTAACTAAAGTTAGTAAAGCCAGTTTCTTAGAGCTAGACAGTTTCCTGCTTGCATGGTAACCTGAAAGCCACAGATCATCTATGCTGATATCCAAACCCTGGTGGATTTTTGACTGGTGGATTTTTTCTGAACTAAGTATCTCCATGGGCTTCTTTTGTTGGCAGACTCAAAGGTGGCCTCATTAGCCATTACCACTTGGAAAGATATTCTTAGGAATCAAACAAGTTCCGAGTCACATCTGCCTGTCCCCTGCTGAGACAGTACAACTTCATGTGCATTGGTTCTGCCCTTTGGCTTCCAGGAGAAAGAACTAACAACTATCTAATTGCCAAAACAGCACAAAGTTAGAGAAGCCCTTCACTCTATAGCAATTCAGAGTGAAGACAGGCTCTTAGTTCTCTATATGTGGAAGCAAGCCACTGGAAACTTCACAGGTCTCTACAAATGGGTAGGAAAATATGGAGTTGTTCTTA